CCCTATGCCTGTGAGCAAGGGGTCTGACAGAGATGTCCCATTACACATGAGAGCTCCACCTTCTCTTGTGTGCTGCTGCACATGGACCATCTGTGGGTCTCTGTACTAACCATCACCTACTGCAAAGAAAATCCACCCTGAGCTCTCCAGGAGATATGATGTACATGGTGATGTACAAGCTGATGGGCCCAGCAGCCTTGGATCTCCTGTTTTTCTTTGGTCAGGAAGAGCAGGAAGGGACTCTAGAAGGAGGAATAAAGTCTGAGCACAGCCCCTAGCCCCAGGCTGTGTAGGCTGCATTGAGCTCAGTGCTTATTCTACAGTCCCATGGGTTTTGGAATAGTCTGAAAACTGTTCTCGGTCTTGTAAAGGTGGAGTGAAAGCAGTGGATTCCAGGAGTCTCAGATTGTCTCCAGGGAGCCTGAGTCCCTGGTTGCTTCTGGCTTCCACTGTTTCTCTGTAGGAAGAAGAGTTCTGACACCAGTGAGGCCCTCTCCTCCTCCCTAATACGCCCACAGTCCTTCACATGTACACACGGCTGCAGCTGCCAATACCACCACGGCCTCTGCTCCTAATTGACTCCTGGATGATATTTTGCAGTCAGCTTTATCTAAGGATAATCGCAAAGGGCTCATGGTGGGGACAAAACTTGGAGAAGCAGAGAGAGGGGGAGGAGGGAGGGAGGGAGAGAGAGAGAGAGAGAGAGAGAGAGAGAGAGAGAGAGAGAGAGAGAGAGATGGGTTCACTGGGGCCCTGGAGGCATCAGGAGGAAGGGTCCTGAGGCTCCACATTGGATGTTTCAGCAAGAGATGACTTTCAGTTCCATTCGGGCCCTTGCCACCAATCTTCAAGGTACAGAGTATTATCTGCTGACCTGCTCCAGTACCTGGCTGCCACATCCAGTGGCTACTGTCTTCTCACTGGGGCTGATGCTCCAAAAACTGAGTTGTACTGTTGACACTCTTCCTGGGGAGACAGGAGAAACTGGGAACAAACATCTACTAAGCCCAGTTGGAGCTATTCAGCCTTTTACTTTCTGTGTCTTAACCATCTCTCCCTTATTATGAAATGTTTCACCTCCATTTGGAATGTCTTGTGTCTTCAGGAGCTTTCCTCCAAATGGAATGTCTTATCTTGGAGGAAACTGCTACACAAAATGTGTATCCATCTGCAGGGCCAGACCCTTTTGAGGCATCCTCTAGGTGACCACATGTCTGGCTCAGGTTTTGACTGCCCTTCCTATCAATTAGATGAGGCTCCACTTTTCTGAGGCTTACATCGCTGTGCAAGGGACCAGTTGTGTGTCTGTGAGAGGGCACCTTCATAAAACATGGACAGAGACTGTGGGGAGACCAGGTAAATATGTGTGAAAAGGGATCTGTGTTTCTGACAGCCGACTACATGTGACTGGCTGGGAGCTGTCTAAGAGAAAGAGCTTTCATCGACACTTTAGAAGTGAAGAGTTTCTACTGTTAATTGAGGGCATTTTGTAAACATCCCTTCCCTCAGAAATCCCAAATCCATACACAGCTTCTTCCTGAAATCATGAGGCTCAGTTTCTATGACTTCCCTTGTAACTTTTCCAAGGGTTGCACTGGCTTTTTTGCAGTGCTGCACAACACACTGTAAACATAGGACCAAAATGTCACTGCTGAAGGTGGAGGTCAGAGACTGGCCTGTGCTTTCAGAGTCCTTGAAGACTCTTGAACAGACACGCACAGAGCTGACCCTGTCCACTCAATGTTCATCTCATGTGTCATAGAGACTAGGAAATGTGGGGTCTGGGATGTTGAGAAATTATCCAGTCTTCACCTAAGCCTCATGTGCTCATTGTGAGTACCCCCCCTTTCCCACTCTCCATGCTAAAATCAGCCTGCAATCTCCCATAGAACCATTCCTAAGGTGTTCTGTGTGGTCCAAGAGCATGGGCCAGGGCAGGCAGCCAGGTCTGAGCAGGTCTTCTAAAAGTAAGATTCACTGTCCTTCCCCCATCCCATGCTTGGGCCACGCCCCAGCCAATTCTCACTTCAGAGACCCACCCACTAATGTAGGAAGCACTCAGAAAGCCAATAGCAATCTTGAAAGAGGAGGGCCTGAACCTTTGTGACAGCAACCTACTGAAAGCCCCCAGGGTAAGGCTCCTTCCAAACACCTCATGGAGGGTGCTGGTGACTAGGTGTCTGAGGATCATCAGCCATGGAGAACCTCCACAATTACAACGACAACTTCTGCCATCATCTGGAGGACTATGAGGACGACATTGGGCCCCACCCTGAACATGAGGGAGCACCTGAATCAGGTGGCAGGGTCTATGAAGGAGCTCTAAGCCTGGACAACAGTGAGAACCAACAGGGTAACCTCAACCAGGGAGGCCACATGAGCCTGGGTCCTGAAGGTGACCACAGCAACCAGGTTGCCATGGAGGCAGACCCAGAGGAGCCAGCCATCTTCCTAGCTGAGGTTCCAAGGCGCCAGCCCAGCAGGCACCAAATCCAGTTCCACTTCACACAGTGGCAGGTACAGGAAATGGAGACCATTTTCCAAGAAACCCAGTACCCGGATGTGCTCACAAGGTATGTGGCTGGCATTAGGAGGCACCCTGGCCTCCAGAGACTAGTGTTCATATTGACCTGGCCTTTACCCCTTCTGGGGAGGCCCATCCTCCCCATTCATTTCCAAACCACAGGTAGCTTCTACCCCATGATGTGTGTGGGGATTTGCTTTGTGGCATCGAGCTCATGTTTGAATCAAGGTTAGTGTTTTCATGCAGTGGTGGCATGAGACAGGTGTGCTTACTGCTCATGTCCTTCTTTATCTCGGTTCTCAACCGTGGTACAACATGGGTGAATGAAAATCGTGTAGGAACTCAAACTATTCTGATGCTTTAGAATTCTGCAATGTTATGATTTGTCTGACAGAGCTCTAGAAGTCCATTCCTCTTGACCCACTGT